CTGCATTTCCTCTTTGGAGAAGTGTCTTTTTAGCTCTTCTGCCCATTTTTTGATGGGGTTGTTTACTTTATTTTTGTTGAGTTTCATCAGTTCTCCGTACAAATAACATTTTAATTACTACTTCCTAAAGAACAAATTTATTAACTCAAGAAGATCTATGGTTATTATTGCAAAATATAAGTATAAATTTCATTTTCATAAAAAATTTTAAACGTGTGAATATTTAATAATTTAAAAAATGTATTGAGGTAACATTTAAAATATTTACGTATCTATTTTCTGGAAAATGTATGTGATAGTGCTATTCTCATACACTTAGAAAAGTGATTGAGCAATGAGCATCAAAAAGAATTATGTATGTGTACTTTGACCAAGTAATTGTATTTTGGGATATCTACGTTAAGTAACTGAAAATTCTGAAAATTTCATTTAACCATATTATTCAATGATAAGGAAGTAGTCATTAAATTATCTATCAAAGATTTGGATTACATAATTATTAAGTCATTTGTTGTGAAAATTATGTAATGAGAGGAAAGAGTAATATAGTGATTAGCATTTTTTAAGCCAAGGTTTGGGGAAAATTCTTCTCCTATGAATATTATTATTATATTAGATTTGGTGTCATTTAACCATTTTAAAAAATAAATATCTCATCTACACAATTGTATTTCTGAATCTCAATTTCTTTTAAATTTCTTTTTATTTATTTACAAGAAATAAATATAAGAACTGGTATACTGTAGGCCAGAGGTGCAGGGTTGGGGTGAGAAGATTCCCCAGAGACAGTGGGGAGCAGAACAGGCAGATGTTGAAATACACTGCTGCAAGGAGCTTCAGGTGAGACAGAAGAGGTCTGCTGTGCATTGTGGGTCACCTCCCTGGCGAGGGAAGAGTGGGGTGGGATTGATCATGGTGTGAAGGCTGGTGATAGCTGGTAGCTTGATAGTGCTGAGACTTCCACCTCTGTATCACCAGGGAGTCCCTGAGGCCCTCTCAGTTTCATTTCCATTTCCTTTTCTGTTCCGCAGAGTAAGCTACTTCCTTAACTTGCTTTTTTCCAATTCTGGTACATTTATTTAAAATTCTACAATATATATGTCTATCTTTACATAATACACAAGATGTTTTTATAGACTTAAATGTGAGTGACAGTATATATTCAGTAAATTATTTTCCCTATTCTGTTTATGAGATTCATTTGTTTATACAAGTAGAACTAGTTCAAAACATTATTACCATTATGGAGCATTTTCATTATAGCCCATGAACAATTACCCATGAACATTAAGGTTGCTTCCATTTTTTGAAACTATCACAAACAATACCACTATATGAACATGTGGAAAATTTTCTTATAAAACTTTCTCTTTAGGGCCCTCCCTGGTGGTGAAACGGGACTAAGCACTAAGAAGTTAAAGCCACTTCAGCATGAGTTCGATCCCCGCCTGCCCCGGAGGTGACCACATGGCGCGGCAGACCTCTCCTGACCCGCT